TCGGACCTTCCTGCGTCGAGTTAGAAGGGGTGTTTTTATTTGGACGCCCTGAAGATGATTCTGTTATCAAACCTGTTCCAGGATCCAGATTTTCATCCACTCAGCGGTTTCTTGGTTTGTTTCTTGACAGCACCTAAAATAACAATGTTGGTCTTGATCCCTTTTGTAAGGAAGCAGCGGAAAAGTACGGCTCCATCCATTTTCCAAAGAAAATCGTCTAAGCATACCAAATCGCTTTGCGTCATGCTAGAGGCTTTCAGGTGCAACCTATCCATTTGGCCAGAAAGCCATCTAATAGGATGCCTGTCTCCCTAACCTCTACTCGGCTCCCGTAACCTTTCACCCTTGCCGTCTGCGTTAAGGGATGCCCTCAACACCAATCATGTGTGCCGATTGATAACAAGTGACGGCATTTTAAGGAAAGTTTCTCTAAACCCCCATAATTTAGGCCTAAATATAAAGAAGAGGAGTGATTTACGCTTTAACTGCCAGAAAAAATCTTAAAGGCTATCCATATCGCGGTCGAGAAATGGGATTTACAGAAACGTACATAAACTTTTTGTTTCATGGCTCACCTTTTGATTAGCTGGGTAATCCAATGTTCGCCTTCCAACGGGGGCACCTCAAATTCCTTATTTTCTCGATATTCGAGCAATTGTTCCTGCGACATTCCATTGAAGCATTTCCTAAACTTTTATGGAGATTACCTTATCACACTAACTTTCGTGTGACCAGTTCCCATATAAGAACACCCAGCGACCATAGGTCGTCCGTGTCATTGAACTAAAAAAAATATTTGACCTTCAGTCGTTCGAACCTAAAATCTGAGTTAGGAGTGTAACTAAATTATCCTCTTTTTGCAACACATGGATTTTGAGCAAATTTTGGCGAAAAATACAAAGACTTAAAAATAAAGATTTTTCAATGCTTTTCCGTGCTCATAAAATAAATGAGAGGAATGTAAGAGCTAATCAAAGAGAATTTTCAACCCGACCTGCCGAAAATAGGTCATTTCGTGGATTTAGGCTTGGCCAAGACCAGGGTTGGTCATGATGATCGAAAGTCGGTCCGCGTCCGTCCGCGTCCGGACGGGTCCGGACCATGTATGCAAATTGCGGACGGGTCCGGACGCGTCCGGACCGGACGGACGCGTCCGGACGCGGACCCAACGGACGCTAAAGAGTCCGCCGGACGCCGGAAGGTCCGCGATGCAAAGTGCAGATAACCATGTTAATTCAATAGTCTGCGGCTTAGGAAGGCGCATCGCCACAGACCTAATTTGAATATTTCGTGTCGACTTGGATTATGACAAAAAATAATCGTCAGTTGTCCAAATAGTCACACAAAAGCAAATCGGAAACGAAGAAACTAGTACTAAACCGCAAGAACAATGGAACATTGCACTAAAATCTCAAAGCTTTTCGTTTGTTCAAACTTTTTAGCGCTTTCCCTTGGATAGTGACAGTAATTTTTGTGTTTTATTCTAAGTCAACGTCAAGGATGCAAGTCAGATTATGATCCTACGCTTTCGTAAACCAGGGACACCTGAATTAGCATCCGCTTTTGTGCTTTGCATCGCGGACCTTCCGGCGTCCGGCGGACTCTGTAGCGTCCGTTGCGTCCGCGTCCGGACGCGGACCCCCGATCATTGTGACCAACCCTGGCCAAGACCAACGGGCCACTGTGGAATATATGTAATGAAATGGCATTTCTTTTCTTTTCGCCCTTAGATGTCATATTTGAGTCCTGACGGTGTGTTTTTGGACTCCAGAAGCACGAATTGACCTAGAGCCGTGGAGATTTTCATCCCTTCCCCTAGGAAGTTGAATCCTCATATCCTCTCGTTGATGGCACAACAAAATACAATTGATACAGACGCTCGAAATTAAATCAGGTGCAATGCTTACATTCCCTCCAAATAGTTGTCGTGGATGCATATAGCGTCGCGTTCCTGTGGCGCTGTGTAAGCTTCCGGAACGTTCCCAGAGTGCTATATTGAAGTCGGTGATTTTCAAAGCCCCGTCATCATCGATCAAGACATTATCTGGCTTTATATCCCGGTGCGTCAAACCCAACACATCGTGCAGATGGCGTATGCCTTCAGTGAGTTGAAACGCTGCCGACGTGACATCGGCAGCGTTGTAAGCAGTGGCTGAGTCCCAGATCACTAAATTTTGGGTAAAAATTTGACTATTTCAGCTCCTGCCACACGGTGTCCCAAAAACTCGCTGTATTGTCCGCCTTACATGCAATAAGTCTCAAAATTGAATCCGAGCCCTAATCAAAGAAATGCTGACGTACAAGCCGATAGTTTGCGAGTTTTCGAGTTCGAGCTATTAAACTGTAGCTCAGGATTGTTGTTATTTAAGGTCCGCCCAAGTCTGGGATCAACTGAGGGCCGCAAAAAACATTCCTCTAACTAGAAGTAGTCGGGCCTGCTCCGAATGTTAGGTACACCATTCGCAATCCCTCGACGAGTTTCGTACTAACTTAAAGAGATGAGGACGGCATCTGTTGAAGCCCCCCCTTGGGGAGGGGGGGGGGGGGGGTTCAACAGGTCCCGCGGCGAGAGAGGGCGCCCAGGGGAGAGGCGCAGAGACATTTTCTTTCCCGCGCGTAATCGATTGACTTATGCCGCCCCTATCCCTTTAATGACCATGTATTATTTAAAACCTTTCGTTGTGGCGCAGTAGAAGCATTAAGAAATCGTCTTTGCATCGAATTAGCGGCTGTTTCCGGCTGCTTCATTCAGAGAAATGACGGCAAATTATCTCCTGCGAAATGTCAAAAAACGGAAACTTTTTAGAAAATGTCTTCTAAAATTACGCTATTAAATCAAAACATTGTCACAAGGGTAGTCGCGGACTCGCCGTTTTAAAGGCTTTCTAATGGTATACCAACGGTTACCAGAGTCTTGTTTCATTTTTATTCCAGAAGCTTTTGGATAGACAATAATTCACTATAAGTTTCAAATTTAATTGAACGAATTTAAAACTTTTGCTGGCGGGTTGCTTAACACGTTGTCATGTGCATTGCCTAACTAAAAGTTTAAAAACACAATACTAAAAGCTTCCGGCAAGCTTATGTTTTGTCGCAGAAATAGCTTTTTGAAAGGGGATATGAAGTGGGGCCTAGGGGGGGCCACGGCGGAATTGCCGCGATGCGGTGTTTCAACACAGTTATGAAGATAAAAATGAAAATTCACTCCAACGATTTTCTGGAAAAGCATACCTTTTCCGAGGCACTGTGGAAGATAGTCGAATATCAGCACGCCATAATCTACTCCGTCCTTCTTATAGACATCCATTCCGCCCTGCCGTATCGCCCGTATGTTTCTATGGCGAGATCCCAGTAGTCGGACGTTGTTAAAACCTTCCCTTTGAAAGTGCTTCTTATTCTCATCAAGGGGTTTGCCCTTCTCATCCGTGAGCTGATAGACCTTCCATACGGTCTTGCTGAAAGCAAGCGAACGTGACTGACTGGAAAATGTTTTTCGATAGGCTGGGAATTCTATTCGGGATTTAACGCATTATGTGGAGAATTTGTCGCTGATTCCGTGCTTGTTTTCCAAATTTACGCAATGGTTGGAATTTAAAAGTTACAGCGCTTTTTGTTGCAAACTGGCCGCAATAGTGGATTTTACGTCCCTCTAAAAATCTCATTGAATACTTATAATAAAAATCAATCGTATCCTGGGGTAAAAAATATGCGATTGCTGATGAACAATCTCACGAACCTGGAGCTCAAAATTTTGTAATTAGATGAATTGTTCAAGCCATGTCAGAAAAAAATTTCGAAATGCGGGACCTCGAGATTTTCGCGTCCCCGCACCCTCAAGGCTTTCAAAACTTCGCCGCGGCGACGAAAAATTCATCAAAGAAGGCTTGCACCTGCCCATTCAATGCGACTTAGGAACAAATATCGGAAAAACTGGAAGTCGTTCGGAACGTCTAACCTCTCGATATCCCATAAGACATATCGGTCCTTTCTTGCGCGCACAAATCCCTGTGTTGGAGTGAAGCCGAATCCTTGCGGATACCAGGGCATTTCGTGCAGACTTAAGGAAAAATGAGGCAGCCGGCAGACAACCTTCTCTGCAATATTGATTAAGCAACAGGAAATTGTGGTTTGGGGAAGGAAGGATGCACCTTTTTCGTTTTTCTTGCCTTTATCAGCAAACCTAGGGCAAGGCTGCGCTGGATGCAACGGTTGCACTTTGGGCGTAATATTACTTAAGGAAAGTTTGTTTACGAAACTGCAGGCAATGCGATGCCCTGTAAGGATTGTAAAATTCATGACAGCTTACCACAAGAATAGAAACTCTGTTTTCATGATGATTTCAAACCAGCGCCTAAAACCCGCTTCGCGGGCCTTGGGCGCTGGACTACGGCTGTCGCCTGAGAAATTGGCTTTCCGAAAGCTTTCGTCCTTCGGTTCCCTTTCCCCTCTCCCGGCCAAGCTCACGCGTGCAGCTTGCAAGGATGAGAAAATTTGTATTGTTTCAGATTATGCAAATTTGCCTTCAAGGACCCCAATAATGAATAAAACCGGCTCTAACTTTGTAAACTTATATATTTTTTCGAAATTCTGAAAGCATCATCGGAAACATAAGGGTCGATTGCCCCCAGTGACGGAGAATTAGAGAATTTTATTCACAGGAAGACCCTCCAATCAGGCCTCGAAACGGACATCCACAGACACACAAAGATATAAGCCAAAATTATGAGGTAAGACAAGGGCTGCTTTGCGACTTTTCGGCCATACGTTGTCTATTCCCGATATATTTTTCAAGTTGCATAATTTCAGTGAGTTCCGATAAAAAAATGAATGTCGGATTATACATTATGCATTGTATAGGCCACCTTGACTACTTGGCTACTTCCAGTGTACGCCAATCGTCTCCTAACAAAAAGGCTCGATTTTTGAAAAAAACTTCATTTTATTGATTTGCAAAATCTGATATGCGTGCAGTCACCGTAGGGCCATTATTCACTTGATGATGCATCATACGTAGCCGAAGACTGTTCAATTCTTGAGCTGCAAGCTATACGCGCTTCTGATGCTTTTGATATACTTATGAACTTGATTATTATTATCCTACTATACAGGGTGTCCCAAAAAAAACGAACCATCTGGCATTTCGCCGTGTGACGTCCAATCGGGCCCAAAATTGGACGCGAGGTGTATCAGACCCTAAATAACAACAATCCTGACTTTTAGCCCCGTAGCTACAGTCGTTCTCGAGTTATAAGGAAAATACTGTTTTTCCCGGAATATTGCAAAGTTTTTTCGGCTATCTTTTTGGACTTTGCATCGATTTGCATCGACTTCCGGCTGCGAATCCCTAATTTCGCTTAAGAACTGGGGTAGTTTTGCGTTGTAAAAATCGCCTAAATCGAAGCTTATTTAATTAATTTTACTCTGGAAAAAATTTCTTACGGTAAAGAAGGCCTACAGGATCATTTTCACTTAATGTTTAGGGGGTCTAATTCCACAAAAACCCTATCAAAAAGGGAAAATAAAGTTTGTTTTTGCCATAACTCGAGAACTACTGAAGCTACGGGGCTAAAAGTCAGGATTGTTGTTATTTAGAGCCTGATACATCTCTGGTCCAAATTTGGGGCCGATTGGATGTAACACTGCGAAATGCCAGATGGTTCGTTTTTTTTGGGACACCCTGTATATCACCAGAAATAGTGTTTTTATGTGTGCCACGTATCATACATACATATTATACGTAGCGTAAGACCTTCCTCCCTTGAGACATTCTACGGACACGGCGACGGAAGTTGCAGGTAAAGTGGTACGCACACACTATTTTTTTATATAAAGTAGAAACGTTTATATCAGTACCGCAATCACATGTAAGGCCAAGATTTTACAGACACGCGCAAAAAGAATTATCTAGAATAGGAAAACATGTAACTGGAGGCTGATGTACCGGCCGTCTCGTCCATGGTTCCTGCTGTTCTACTTCCTCGTGGTATCGCCATCTAAAGGTGAAATTAATGGAAAAATGTTGCGGGTAGAAAAATTAAAGATATTGATGCGCACGTTCAGGCCCATACGGGGGGTGGGCGCCTTTGGCCCCTGCCCCGAAGTGCTTGCGGCTCTGTTAGTTTTGAAGTTGTAGCAGTTGCTGGTTTGGCGATCAACAAATGGGGGTCTTGGAATGCCCCGCCCCCAATCTTGGTTCCTGTTTACATTCCAAATTTTATCGGGATCTACACAGCATCCAGGGATCATTTCGGGGAAACCCTGTAACGATGAGAATCCTTTCATCGCAAACTTTTTGGGACTGTCAAACCCGAGTAACTACCATTTCAAAAGCTTAACATCCGGCAAAAACCCGCGATCCAATATTCAATGGCCTACTGGGTGTCCCAAAAATTGGAATCCCTCTATCGTTCCGCAGGTTTAAGATCGGGTTTGACTATTCGACCATCCGATAGGTATTCGGCTATAAGTACTTTTGATGCTACTGTAAAGGATTGGCAAGAGTGGGGAAAAGCCCCGGAAACGGCAGAGTGCCATGGCGTGAATCAGCCATCCTTTCCCTCATCCTCGGCCTCGAGCAATGGTGATTCGGGACGCTTGTAGCTCAGCGGAAGAGCACCTGTACGGAAAACAGGAGGTCGCGGGTTCGACTCCCGCCGTGCGCAACCCCGTTTTACCATTGCTCGAAAGTTTATTCTACATATAGGATCCTCGAATAAAAACAAACAAAAAGTGGCCCCCTGGCCCCATCAGCAATGCCACTTCCATTACCTCCATTGCCTCCGCCTGCGGCAATACGGCTGTTTTCGAGTGGCCCGAGCTCGAACGAACTTTAGGGGTATTCAGAGCTCGGCGAGCTTGCTGCATAGGGATCGGTGAGCTGAGGCCCGGTGCGCTGGCTAAGGACGTTTCAAACGTGTTTTTCGGCCAGTCGACGTCCTGGAAATTCATATCGTCCGCGATCACTTATTGTAAGGTTAGTTGATCGGCGACGGCCTCGCCCAAGCGAAAGGCTGCAGGCTCCTTCCCCCGCCGTTACCGCTTTATTTAAGCGCGACTATGGAATTGCCGCCGGCAAACCTATAAGCGGTAAAATCCATAGAAAAGCAGCAGTACTATCTCGCAACTGACAACTGACAACTGACAGGCAACTGACAAACTGATCTCGAAAAGGGCTGCTTCGGGTCATTCATCAAAACGAGGAGAATTCAAATAAAACGTTTCACAACAAGGAGCGGTTTTTTAGTGATCCGGTAAAGCCTACTTTGTGCAGAATTTTATGCTGATTGCGAATCCGTGTTTAAAGAAAGCTGAACGACGTTTTTGAAGAACTTGCAAGGTCATATAGTGGCAGAAAAACGATTTTTACACAACTTTACGAAAATTTCGAAAAGTTGGCGTGTAATAGCCCATTTTAATTTTGACCTTTTTTGACATTAAAAATCTCGTAAGTTCTTCAAAATTGTCGTTCGGCACCTTTTGAAAATTGCTTCGAAGTCAGCGTAAAATTCTGTACAAAACGCTTCGTTCCATCTCGAAATTCCAGGATCACTAAAAAACACGTCTTGGTAAAAATCTGGTAGAAATGGTAGGTAGAGTGGTTAGCGGGAGCAAGAGCCAGAGCAAATCTGCTTTTGCCGGACTTGAGAGCCCTCAGATGTTCACCTACCTGCGGCACGAGCCATTCGATCTCAGCTTTCAATTCTTTTACAGTTTTCACCGGCGTCTGATAGGACCTAAAATCAATAAAGGGTCGCTATTAAGCCACCTCACTGGGAGATTATATGTGGGATATGCTGTAGATTCGGACTTGGAATAGTTCTACGCAGCTCTGCCCTATCCTGTCCCGCATTCTTGATGCTTAAAATATAGATTTATCTTCCGGATGACAACTGACTCTCGCTTCATTATTTGCCACACTGTAATCCATAGGGACATAGCGTCTTCACATTGGCCCACCTTTTGAAATAAAAAATGGGGGTTATCGAGGGTGAAAAGCCGCGTAGCAGCTTTCACCCCTGGTCTCGTGCTTGGAGCCCTAGCAGGCGAGCGTATCCGAAGAACCCCATAGACCCTGATATGTAAATTAGGCTATCTTTATACTTTATTTTCATCGTCTTAAAACTCGCCTTACCTTAGTGAGGTCCTGGGCTAGACTGAAGTCGGCAATTTTCATTACACCCGCAGTATCGACGAAGATGTTTGTGACGTTCAAATTTCCATGAGTAATTTTTATTGCTTCGTGCAGGTGCTCTAGCCCTGCCAATAGTTGAAAGGCGGCCGAGAACACAGCATCCTCAGCGTATTTGATAGACTCGTCCATTATAACTAGGATTGTAGGCTAGGCTCTGGTGCGCAAGAGAGGGGGTGAGCACTTACTGCTAGGTTTAGGCTAAGATTAGCTTTACCTATGAAGTTTGGTCTAATTACTAAGAAATTAGCTAAGCTTGTAACACTAGTTGAGTTTCATGCTTGATTCAAAGTCTGGACTAGCTTTAATTTGCCTTAGCGGCCCTAACAGGTTGAGAGCCCTGCGATATGTCTTGAATTGGCTAGCCGGTTCTCAAAAAGCAAATCCCCTCGTTAGGCCGGGTTTTCATTAATTTGTTCGTACGGATTGGATTGGCCCCTTACAAAAGATTATGAAAATCAGCCGCTTCTTAGTGAACTCCGCCATCCGCATAACCTCAATGTAACAAAAACGAGCATGATATTTTTAAAGTACTTACCCATGTCAAGCCTGCGTGGAAGGTAAGCATATCTTAGCACACCATAGGTTTTTCCGTCCAAATCATAAGTGAAATCTAGGATTCCGCGTTTGCCGCCGTGTACCATACGGATATTTCGGTGGGGCTTGTCTATGAACCGGCGTTGAATGGCTGCTTCTCGGACAAAACATCTTTGATTTTCTAGCAGCTTTACGCCGGTGTCTTCGATAAGTAGGTAGACATGCCAGAGCAGCTCACTGAACAAGAGAGTCGTCACGATGTCGTAGTCTTTATCGATACGCTTTGCGCATAGCACTTGCTATGAACTCAAAGATCCGGTAAGACGCCTGTGCGCGCTGCTTAAAGCTACAGGTCGTTTTCATTACGCCGCCCTTCACAATACCTAATACCCTCCGTGTGAATACTAGGAAAATAATTTTTTTTGGCTGCATCCCAAAGTCAGAACAAACGTAAAGCCACACGCGCGCTCGCTTTCGCCATATACGAAAACCTCAAACAAAATGAAACCAGCTAACACTCTTGCGGCGCGCGGATTTGCTATTACAATGCATAAAATCATAATTCCCAACTTCCGAAGGCATAAAATTAGAAGGCCTAAATTTCCGAACCACTTAATTTCAAAAATGCATAAATTGCAGTATGTATAAATCATAAGATGCATAAATTTTGTGACTGAATTGACTACGACTATATTGACTACAGGGTGTCCCAAAAAAAACGACCCATCTGGCATTTTGCCGGGTTACCTCCAATCGGTCCCATATTTGGAACAGAGGTGTATCAGACCCTAAATAACAACAATCCTGAGTTATAGCCCCATAGCTACAGTAGTTTTAAAGTTATAACGAAAATACTGTTTTTCCCGGAATTCTGAACAGTTTTTTCGGCTATCTTTTTGGACTTTGCATCGATTTGCATCGACTTCCGGCTGCGAATCCCTAATTTCGCTTAAGAACCGGGGTAGTTTTGCGTTGTAAAAACCGCTTAAATCGAAGCTTATTTAATTAATTTTACTCCGGAAAAAATTTCTTACGGTAAAGAAGGCCTACCGGATCATTTTCACTTAATGTTTAGGGGGTCTAATTCCACGAAAACCCTATGAAAAAATGGAAAATAAAGTTTGTTTTTGCGATAACTCGAGAATGACTGTAGCTACCGGGCTATAAGTCAGGATTGTTGTTATTTAGGGTCTGATGCACCTCTGGTCCAAATTTGGGGCCGATTGGATGTAACACGGCGAAATGCCAGATGGGTCGTTTTTTTTTGGGACACCCTGTATATTGACTGTGACTAAATTTGCTTCATACTAATCCTAAACCAATTACCGAATTTAACTCGTGAAAATTTCGACATCCCAAAATTTATGCATTCAGAAATTTATATTCTGGGATTTATGCATTCTGCAACTTGATGCATTCCGAAATATATGCATTTTGAAATTTATGCTGTCTGAGTTTAGCCATTGTGAAACGTAGGCATTCGGATTTTATGCGATTGGATTTTAGACATTTTGAAAAAATCCCGGGCGTGCGTATTGTTGGGAAAGTAGCCCGTTGAAAATATTCTGAACATGTAGATATCGGCCGTTGTTTTTTCAGATTTTATGGACGACCCTGCTGTTCGTTCAAATTCTTTGAACAGCAGGCAAAAATAGACAATTTTTTACAACAAATTATGGGACTTTTGAGGAACGCCGTGTAAAATGAAAACCTTGACTGACCGCTTGAATGCCACCAGTGTGTAGCGGTCATCAGTCCGCCCGTAAAAATCGCGCTCTTTCGATGACACAAACTCTTTCGGATACCAGACCATCATGCATATATGGACAAACCTAAAATTTAATATCCAGAACTGTTGATTTTTGAGAGCGCAATAATAAAAGGTATTCGCAGCCCGCGGCGTTATCATTCTTTTCAGCCATCTTCCCCGCCCCCCAAAACTTTCGGGCAAACGACTCAATCAATGCTTTCGATAGCGGAGGAGGCCGACCAATAAGAAATAATTCCCGGACTTGCGGACCTCGGGTTTTTGACTAGGGAGCCTTACCACAGACAGCACTCCGTTCCATGTTACCGAACCCTGTACGCTCTTGCGCAATGACGTTTAAAATGATTGAAAAAAAGAAAAGAATGTCTATGCAGTAGAGCTTCAAAGTTCACGGCCACGGTATAATTTTTTGATGCCGATCTCCGCGAGCCCACGGCCCGCGGATCCTATTTTCAGCGCCGAGTACAAAGCGGGGGTCGAAAACTCGCGAAAACGCTCGTATCGCGCAATTAGTGCTGAAAAGTGGCGCAACCTTTAGAGGTTCCGCCGCAGCTTCCGTCGGATTAAGCTCAACACTCACTCAGACTCGTATAAATTCGCGTATTTTGGGAGTTTGGTGCTAATTCGCTGGCTACTTCCCGGCCACCGTGAACCCTGTTGAACATGCGGGCACTACTCTTTGTCATTTGCGTCTTGTGCTTTTTCGAATTGGCTAATGGTGCCTGTTCGGTGACGGCGAGTACGAAGATTCCGAAGAAGTGCAACAAGCTGCTGGATTTGATCCAGAAGCAGTTTATCAAGACGAAAAATATCATTGACAAGAAAGTAATGTGGGCGGTGAGTTTGAATATTTCAATTTTTCAGAGGTTTTTGTTAAGGTGCGAAAATTTCTCATGATATCCTATAGAAAACGCTAAACGCTAAAGTAATACGTAAGGCAAAACAAGGAAAGCTTCCATCAAACAGATTTTTTACTAGATTAATCAACCCAGCGCCAGAAAATCTATTAAGTCTCGGCTTGGCTTTCAAGTGGCTAGAAAGCGGCAGAATCTACTCTTTTTAGCTAGGTCTTGACAGTTATCAAATTCGAGATACTGATGACGGTAGAGATTTGCATACCTATTTTTGAAAATTTGATTTTCGAAAGCGGTGTTCCAAAAAGGATAATTTCGAAAAAACCCAAAAAGATTTGCTGCCAGCTATCAACTGGAACTCCGCTGCGCGGCATGAAATCGAGAAAAAAAATCTAAATTTTTCGAAATTCTGATTTTCAAAAATATGACTTGGCAGAACGACTTTAGAAAAACGATTTTCGAAAAGTGCCCCGGAGGAGCGGTGGGTTGCGTAGCTGTCGACTTAGGGTTCGATTCTAGCGCGCTGTGAGGGCTTGATAGAGTGGAGTAAAAAGGACCTAGTTAATAGGAACAAGAAGTAGGACAAATAAAATTAGGTAGGTAATAAGCAAAAAGAGGAGCGCCGTGGTAACGAGATTTCAAAAAAATTTGTCTCGTTTAGTTTGCCGAAGGTCTCGGCACTTACGGACTTTCCTGGATCCAGAAGCGCCTAACGGCGCTTAACAAGGCGGTACCGACAATGTGCGAAGTTGGAGGCAGTGAGTTTTAGGTTATAAGTTGCTTGAGCCCTTACTTCCATAACTTAAAGAAAATGTATTAACATTCAAAGCATTGTAAACAATAAGCTCCAAGAGGCAACATAACGGTGAAATCCGAGTCTTTAGCCCGAAAACCGTAAAGAAACACCTTGACAATTCAAAAACAAAACCGAGAAGGAGTGAATGATGCTGTAAATTAACGTACACCCTGTCACGGGGGGAAGGGCTGGAGGAGTTCGGTTTCGAAACTACCCTGACAAGGCGTAACATTTCCCAATGTAAACTGAACCAGAGATAAGGGGTGACTTTCACGGCCCTTACTTGTAAAAGCCTGTACGAGCCGGCGAAATAGCCAAAATCAATACCTCAATATGTTGCAGTGGTAACGGAATACGCGACGGACAACTTGGATACGCTAGTCGGTTGCACTACGGAATACAACCCGGGTACGGCAGCAAAGGTCGCAGTGGATGCAATGGCGCTGACGACACTTGTCGCGGTGGGTTATAGCTTACTATATTTTGATTTAACGTTTATAAGGACGCAAATAGAAAATCTAAAAAATTTGAGCGTTTTCAGGTCAACCGTTTTAATCTGCAAACGATCGGAAACTCGATGATCTGCGCATTGCTGGAATGTTTGAAGGGCGCCTATAAAAATCAGGTAATCACATCTGAGGTAGCCCGAGATATTTAATTGGATGAGCACATACAACAATTAAAAAGTCCCTTCGAAAATTATTATGGAGTTTAGTTCACTCCAAAGTACAAAAAGTGGATCAAGAAGTTGAACCAAACGGTGGTGATGACAAACGTTTGCGCAATGGGTGTGCAATACCTTCAAACGCAGAAGCTCGTCCAGACATGTTTTAATGTAAGTTACGATTTTCAAGGTTTTTTTGAGTTGATACGGTTGATGAGAGTTGATTTTTGATACGAGTTAGCTTTAGTAAGCTTTAATTTCCTTAAAACTTCATTTGTCTTTTTTCGTTTTTGAGATACAGTACTTTGCTGGTATTGGTAACTCTGGGCGAAAGTGTCTATTTTCAGGCAGCCAAGGCACGCACGCAGGTTGTCGTGATGCAGAAGCTGTTCGACCCGTACGTCCCGAAATACGCAGCAATGTATCAGACGTACAGGGATAAGTCGACGGTACGAATTTAACGTTTTATGTACTCGCTTTCCTAAGTGACACGACAGTGATAGTCTTTATCAAACTATTCCTTCAAATAATTTATTTAAATTAAATTTACCCTTTCCTGGCATTTTTAGCTAAATTTTAGACCAGAAATGAAATTTTTAATTGATTTAGCCAAACTTTAGACGATGATTTTCCTAGAGCTCTGATTCGCATATGGGAAAGCAAAGCTGCTTCATCATAGTATGATAGTTTTTATGCTAAATAAGTCGGGCAGTCGTAATGAACAGGTTTTTATATGTAAAACCGCAAATTTACCCCTCAGTTAATTATGAAATGTGATATCAAGAGCAATCAGAAAAATAGCTTATAAAAATACTAGAAAAATGCAAAATCCCGACTTTCAGGTAGCCTGCATGACCAAACCGCAGGTCTGCGACTGCAACATCAACCTCACCGAATCGATTAATGCGGCGAGCGGCCTTGGAAAATAGGAATAAATCGCTTTTTACGTTCCAAACCTAGCAAATTTTGTATTAAAATGTTTTCACCTGCTCAACTTTCGGGCAAACCTTGACTGATAGCCTATTAATGCAAAAAAAACAACCGCTTCTCCGTAATTCTACCGAACTCTGCCGCCACTTTTGAACTTATCGCGCCCGGGTTCAAACTATTGCCCCCACCAAATGAAAAGCTTCTGAAGTTCCAACCTGAAAAAAATTCCAAAACCCCGCGCAGGCACACCCAATTAACACCCACAAAATAGCCCGACCCCGCAAAGGATTATACCGAATTTCGCAGGCTTGCCCCCTCCAGACCAGCGACTATATAATGACCCCTTGAACCCGGGAACTTCCGCTACACTCCCCTGCGCATTACCGTACACCCCGCTCCCCGGAAATGCGGCTGGCCCTCCTGATCTCGTTTTGCTGTCTGGTGGAATTTGCCAATGGAGCTTGCCCGGTGACGCCGAGCACGAAGATCCCGAAAAAATGCGCGACGCTGTTTGACCTAATCCAGAAGCGGTTCATCAAAGTGGCCAACGTTTTGGACAAGAAAGTGATGTGGGCGGTGGGTTTTTACGGCAGTTTTCAAAAATATCCGATTCATTTGGTCTTCTAGTGAATTCTGAGGCTCAATTTTGCCTCCACAGATATCCCAAGGGTCCCAAATTTGATATTTTTTCCATTCTTCGAATTTTTTTGACGTTATTCGATAGAAAACCAAAAAAATAGCGTGAGCATTTAAACACACACCAAAATAATGTAAAATCTAAAAAATATGGCGTAAACCAGAATAATATCAGAAAATCGGGTTAAAAAGTTGGTTTTTGGAATTTTTGCTACTTTATCTGGTATTTTGAAGGCGGTAGTCGATCGAGCAGAAAAATTTTTTTTGAGTTTTTTTTAATTGCAGCCCAACCTAGCGCAAAATAATCTAGCTATGACAGAAGCCAGGTTTGGACGTGGTTTCCATCTAGATAAATGGGGGTGAAAAGCTGATTTATGCAATTTTCGAGATTTTTCCAAACTTACCAAACGTGGTCGCGCCATGCAAACATAGCTAAACCACCGTAAAATTTTTGCGTCTACGTCCCGGGAACTTCCCATAGTTGCTGCGAACCAAGTACCTTATAAAAAGGGTTGCAGATTCTTGCTTGAATTCTGAATCTAACATTTTCAAAATGCTAAGATTTCTGAAACCCCTAATTAAATTGGCTTCGACGCGCCATGTCTTCCGGTTTTCCCGCCCTATCCCACCTTCAACTTGCCCCGAGGCACGAGAACTCTCCCCTGTTTCCAGGTCGCCGAAGGCCTGGGTGATGCTGGTGTGGCCTGGATCAAGGGCAGAATCGCGGCCTCGAATAATACCGTTCCGAGTATGTGCGAAGTTGGGACGTGTGGGTCGAGAATCAAATGACCATAACCCGTGTTCAGTCGTTACCACCTATGCCTCGGACAACGTCGACACATTGGTTCAGTGCGCCACACAGTACAACCCTGCTACTGCCACAAAGATTGCCCTCGATGCGGTCTCGCTGGCTGGTATAGTCGCGGTGAGAAGAGAGAGAGAGAGAGAGAGAGAGAGAGAAAGCCATAGACGCCAATCGTATCGTCAATAACCCATTCAATTCAGATGAACGGCTTCAGCCTGCCGAATATCGGTAACGCGATGATTTGTGGGGTGCTGGATTGTCTTCAAGCGGCTTATAAGAATCAGGCAATAGCTTTTTTAATGTATATTTACGTTTTCCTTTCCAGTTCTGCCCCAAATACAAGGGCTGGCTCAAGAAGGTCGACAAGACCGCCATGCAGAACCAGGTGTGCGCCATGGGTGTGCAATATCTTCAGAACTCGAATCTCGTCCAAACATGTTTTAATGTGAGTTACGAGAGAGGGAGAGAGAGAGAGAGAGAGAGAGAGAGAGAGAGAGAAAGAGAGAGAGGGCGAGAGAGAGAGAAATATGTAGAAACTTATAGGTTATTCGATCGCTTTTCAGGCCTGCAAGGCTCGCACCCAGGTCGCCGTCATGCAGAAGCTGTTCGACCCGTTCGTCCCGAAATACGCAGGCATGTACCAGACGTACAGGGACAAGTCGACGGTAAGTTTCATTAGTATTTTCGTTCGATTTGGCTTCGACGACCGTATGTATTTTGCCATCTTCAGGTAGCCTGCATGACCAAGAGCCAAACCTGCGGTTGCAACCAGGAACTGACAGACCTAATCAATGCGGCGGGAGGATAACTCGAAAGTACAACTTAATCTAGCTGGTACATTTGAGAATAAACCTGTTTGGCCGGTCCAATATTTAACCCGCCTAGGATAAAAACAATAACGCATAGTAGGATGCAGAAAGAAAGAGAGAGAGCAAGAGAGAGAGAAAGAGAAAGAGAGAAAGAGCGATAGAGAGAGAGAGAGCGAGATATTGTACGTTCCAGGCATAGATCACATTCCCCGCATCATCCATTCCGGTTGAGTAGATCGCGCCTACAACACTACAAAAAAGCGATGGGCGCGTCGGCCAGGGATAGCAAAACCCGCGGCAAGACGAGCCTGATATGACTACATCCGACAACATTTACCTAGCATTGCGATTTTTGGGATGATCCATACTTTCAATCGGCTTCGAAAACTAGAGAATCTTATTGCCGAAAACATTATATCGCCCGTGTTTTTCACGAATTAGGGGAATCGGCCTAGCATTGAGGGGAGCGGCAAGGCATAGCTATCAAATTTTTTGTCGATTTATTTGTGGATCGTGGACTTGCAACGGATCCAAGTTTTCCCTTTGGTTAATGCATGATGCAATGAAATGCTGCGGAAACTGGAAAATCCAAATTCGGACAAAAGAAACGCCAATCCTGAAATATCAGGTTTACTATTTCTGAAGTTGTATTTGAAAGCACCCGACATTTTGCCTCTGGATTTTTAGGGCAGTCACAGACTATCAACCAGCCTTATTCCCCCTTTTTTAGTTCTTTTTTCACAAGCCCTAGTAGCAAACTCAACCCCCAAATACCAGTATTTGTTTGCTCAGCAGTTTCCCACTTTGCCTGTGCTTTCTACCCAATGCAAAAAAACTACGGAACACACGGCTTTTCGCCTGGTCTCAACCGCTTTTCTAGTATTGGAGCTAGAGAGGACGGGGCAAAGATAAGGCTCTATTTACGCCGCTGGCTGTCCGTATTTCTGCTGATTGCCGATTCTGTTCAGATGCATAAACAGGGTTCCTGCAGCTGGGCAGGTCAAAGTAGAAGTATTATATTTTTATTCTTGTTTTATTTTAAGATCTTAATTGATTGAATTTACGTTCGAAATAACTCTTGAGTGAATCCTCCCGATCTGCCCTTTAAAAATATGCAAATTACGACTGAATTCCTTAAAAGTGTTGTCTTCAAACTCCTCAAATTATCTAATCTTTTCTAGAGATAAGTAAAGCGTAGGATAAAGCAGATAATTCAAGTAAACTGGGTGTAAATATACTAAAATTTCGTAAAGTTCCGGTTTTGCGTTTTATCGGCCTATCACGCTTTTTTATCCTAGGTGCTCGCCGTATAGATTTTGGTCAAGGTCAAGGGCGACAGCTATTTTCCGTTCTCTATCTCTCTCTCTCTCTCTCTCTCTCTCTCTCTCTCGCTCTTTCTCTCTCTCTTTCTCTCTCTCTTTTTTCACGACTGCTTTTTGCTTTCAAATCCATCCAGTCAGCCGTCATTTTCCGGTTTTTCCGGGACACCATCGTTTTTATTGCAAATTTCCGGGCCGGAGTTCGCAGCGTGTGTGGGGCAAAATGGTCTGCTCGTGCATGCTGCTTTGGCTGATCCCTGTATATTATTTATTGAGGTCGGTTTTATACCGGGAAAAGTTGCAAATCTTAATTAAAGCTATACAAGCATTAATTATATTTTTAGATGGTTCTGGGAGCTCCTGAAAATTGATAAGCTTGAAAAACGAGCCGTGCTAATCACCGGATGTGATTCTGGATTTGGTTTCAAAACTGCACTTCAATGCTCTCATGCTGGGATCCCGACTTTTGCTGGATGTTTGACGCAAGGGGTATTCTTTTTGTCCTTTTTAAAACGTAAATATTTAGGGCATTGACCGACTAAAAAAAGAAGACAGCTCCTCCAAACTCCGCCCATTTTTACTCGACATTACCAAGGACGAATCGGTTGCTGATGCCGTGAAATTTGTTGATGCGAACTTGAAGGATGGGGAATGTGGGTACAATTTAAACTTTCTTTAGTACTAGTAGACACCCTGTAAAACACATTTGAATTTTTTATTTTTAGTCCTCTGGGCCCTCGTCCAGAACGCCGGCGTCTTCACCCTCTACGGTCCTGACGATTTTATGACGGCAGAACACTTCCAGTTCTCATTCGACGTCAACTGTCTGGGAGCGATCAGAGTCACTCACGTAAGTATCACTCTATGAACTGCAGCATAAGTTTTTCATGCCTCTGATTTTTCTTGTAAGTCCGACTTATTGTTAGCTTACAGTCGGAATGGCAAGTTTGTATACTTTTCAATGCCTTTTCAGGCCTTCAAGCGTCACATCAAGAACTCAAAGGGCCGTATCATCGCTACCTCATCCGTATCTGGAAGAGTCGCTTTCCCAGGAACGGCCGCTTATGCGGTTGCGAAATATGGTGTTGAAGCTTATATGGATGCGATTAGGTATTGGATTCGTACTTTTTTAAGTTTTAAAGGGAGGTTGACGTGATGTGAATCTTCCATTTCTTGGGAAAATCTTAACGGAAGCGCCTTTTGTCCAAAAGAGTGAAAAAACTGTGCACAAAGCTCTCATTTTTCTATAAAAAATCGACATCTCGAAGAGATTCTAGACGTATTTCTTTCCTAAACCTCTTTAAAGGCATCCGCTACCATATAGCTTCAGGCAAGAACTCTACCCATGGGGAGTCCAGTGTTCAATCCTGGAGCCGGGAGCATTCAAGACCCCACTTCTGGATCATGAGATGCATAGAAACCGTGTCAATAAGGTATGTATTTTTAGATACCTTTGATCATCTTGAAAATATGCCAGGCTTGGGAAAAACTTGACGACGAGACGAAGAAGGAATATGGGGATTCATACAAGGATTTCAGTGAGTTTTGAAGCTTATAGTCTATCCAGATTTCTCTCTCTTTCTCTCTCTCTCTCTCTTTCGCTCTCTCCCTCTCTCTCCCTCTCTACCCCTAATTCTTTCAGCCATCGACAGCTGGAACAAGGCCCTCGATGGTATGGCTTCATCAAACTTCAGCTACGTGACCGACAGCTATTTCCATGCCATCACCGCGCAGTACCCCAGAAAAAGGTATCGTTTTTTTGGGGTAAGAGGCTCGAGCGTTTTTTGGTATTTTTTTTTGGGGTGTATTTTGGGGCGGCGAAACCCGCAGCGGCGCGAAAGTACAAACGATAACACCCAGGGCTTTTGGTCATTATTTTGGGCATATCGGTCAGAGTGAGAGGAAGCGCGAAAAATCGGATCGCAATTCCGAAAAATTGGGTTTGCAAACGAGAAAGAGAAAGAGAAAGAGAGAGAGAGAAAAAGAACGAGAGAGAGAGAGAGAGAGAGAGAGAGAGAGAAAGATAGAGAGCCGATTGTCTGGATGCTTTTTAAACTTACTTCAATTGAATTAATTTTTTAAAGATGTGGAGTTTATGAGAGGCTCTAAGAATTAAAAAACTTTAAAAAATTTAATGTAAAAATAAAAATTCAATCCGTCTGATTTTTCGCTTATTTTCTATTTTCTAGGTACCGTTGCGGCTGGGACTCGATCTTCTTCTACATCCCAATTTCCCTGGTACCTACCGAGGTCCAAGACTGGGTCTTCCGCATGCTAATCACCAAGGAGAACAAGAACAACGTCCAGCCGGCCTGCTTTTCCGAGAACAACAAGAACAAATAGAGCTTAGATATCGGTTAAATTTAATTATTTACATCCACTATAATTACAGCCTGTTAAAACATGCTAAAAATTACATAAAAAGACTTCTAAACCTTTATTTACACGTGAAATGTTCGCATTTGGTTCCTTGCTTTGGTTCAAGCGTTGTTTGACAGTAGAAAATGACGGCAGATGAAGCGCCTCGGAATCGAATAGGATACGGGTTGGCGATGCCGGCTTGGAAGTCCGTTCGGTACTGAAAGAGAACGTAGCATAGCGTCGCGTAGTCTAGTTTTTCGTTTTGAGGAAAGCTTTTTTAACTAACTTATCTCGTTCTCGCCAAAGGTACTTTTATTCTGTTTGTTCAAAAGCATAAGTTCAAAGCGTACTAACAAGGAATCCTTTTTTGGGTCATCGGCAAAACCTTGCGAGACCTAGCTCATTCGATAGAGAATGCTTTTTCTGAGCAAGACTCCGTTGTCTGTTTTTGCGAAATGGCTATCCCTGATATTATAAAATTTTAAAACTGCACCGAAAAGCCTCTCTTTTTGCTCGAAAGGCACTCATAGTGAGACGGTCACTAGTATTATAATTTTATAAAATCAGAGATAGCCATTCCGCAAAAACAGACAACGGAGGGTTGTAAGTGAAGACCTATGTACCCAAATAGACTAGCTCAAGGAGAAAGGAACAGAAAATAGTTCATCTGCTGAATGCTAGACCTCTACACCCGAGATACCTTAACTTTCCATACCTGAACATGCCCAAACAGGCTCTCCTCCAGTGTGCATCCATTTGCGTCGATAATTGTGTACGGGACGGAGCCCTTTTCATCCCCGGCCACGGTACAATTTGACACACGTAGACAGAAACCTTTTGAGGGCTTGCAGGTGATGTCATAGAACAGAGAGGTGTCGAGGCTTACTCCTAAAAATATACTAGAGGTTTTTCTATAAAAAATGTACCGTCTATTAGCGCAATTTAACAGGAAAATTCACAAAAGCTCGTGAGTAAAAAATATAGCATTACAAGTTACAGTAACTGAAGTTCTTTCCTAATTGTTTGAAAAATATTTATCTCTATTTTTAATAAAAATTAGCGGAGTTTTTGCCTTTTGGAATAGTAAAAAATTGGTTTCTTTTGCATTATCGGGGGTAATAGAAGGAAAACAGTTTTTTGCCAATAGTCGCAGCTTTTCCTGATATACATGGTTTCCTAAGAGTTTATACACTGTTTTTTACTGTTGTATCTAAGCTTAAAAACGCTAAAAATTTGAATTTTTAAAGTAACTTATAAAGTTTTTGTAATTTTTACACTTGAAATATATCTAAATTCCACTTTAAACACTCCTAATA